CTAGAAAGAGGCTTTGTATTAAAGGACGGAAGGAGTCTTTGTAATAGAACAAAATTTGACTCAATTATCAAATTAGACTCGTTATTAACATAATTATATATATATATATATATATATATATATATATATATATATATATATATATATAATAACGTAAATTGCAATAAAGTTCAAACCAACATTACAATAATCCACTTTACCGGTTTACCCACCAAAAGAAAACACTAAATTGATTATACTAACAATAAATTCAATTATTTAGAATAAAATAAACAATTAATACAATTATAACTCCAGATTTGTGAAATTCAACATTTACGATTATAGAAATTGATATTCGACTACTAAAAACGCATAACAAAATTCAAACCAAATGTACAATAATCGTCCTATGGACGGAAAAACTTAAATTGACTATAGTCAAACAAATCATCGATAAACCCTAATTGACGATCAAAATAATGATAAACCCTGACGTGTGAATTTAATCTTTGACTCAATAAAATATTTAAATAGGGAAATTGATAATCAAATACTCTGTATTAAAATAACAGAAGAATAAAAACAAGAACCTATGGAGAATTCAAAATTTTCCTATGGTCAATTGTAAGATAGAAGTATTTTGTAGTATTTATGTAGAATTAATAACTTGAATAGTATCAATAATCTTGGCCAATATATATAGCCTACAAAAAATAACTTGAACAATATAATTGTATTGTAGGTAAACTTCCCTAATCCCATACGATATCAAACACTAAGATCTATATGGAAAATATGGAAAATTCTAAGTAATTCTAATTTCACTCAAATTCTATACCCAATTTGTTTCCTTCATTCCATTGTATTAATCTTTTTATACTTGTGAATAATATATAACTAGATGAAGCCCAAGTATTATATATATATTTAAATGATACATCATGTACAGTGTGTTTGGATAACATTAGAGGAAGGAAAAGAAGGGGAGGGAGGAGAAGAAGAGGGGAAGGAAAGGGAGGAGAGAGAAGAATGGTGAGTTTTCCTTCCAAATCTCTCCATTGTTGGAGGGATCATTTTCCCATAATTTAATCCCTCCATTTCTCTCCCCTCCAATTCCCTTCCTCATTTGTTATTCAAATAAAAGATATCACATCTCTCCATTTACCTCCCCTTCTTTTCCTTCCATTTCCTTCTATCCAAACACATCGGTAATTTTAATACCAAGTGGTGGTTGGTGCAATAGTGGTGGGAGCTGCACTTAAAATTTGATAATCTTACCACTAAACCAAGCTTAGCTTGGTAAAATAAACGAATTAGATTTAACATTTTAAAGCAAAATAAACGAATTAGATTAGATTTAACATTTTAAATTCAAGTGTCACGTAACTATAAAACATTTGGTAAATTTTAGCTTGTTAATTTTTATTTTTTTTTGCTTATGTGGCAATTAAAATTTTTAATTATGAAAGAAATTGCAAAATTATTTTTTCATTGGCTAAAATCCCTTATTTTTCCATGTATGTGGCGCTCTAAAATCTCTTAATTATCTTGTATTTATGGCTTAACAAAAAAATTATCTTGTATTTATCTAATCAAAATTCAAACGATTTTTTTTTTCAATCCAATTTCGTATTTATAATTTTTGTACTCATACTCCATAAATTTTAATATTAAATCTTAATTTAATGAAATTAATTCATATCTTGTCAACATACTCCGCATATTTTATCATTCTTTTTTAATCTAATTCATTAGTGTGTAGCCCGGGCATTACAGTTGCTACTTTAATTAGACCTTGTGATAATCAATTATATACATTTATTTTCATGTTTATAATGTAGTTTATGATTGGCTTAGATTGTTAAGTAACTATCTTTCTTATTAAAGGTTGGGTGTTCGAATCCCCTTATCTACGTGGCACAGAGACGTTCTTAGTAACACCTTTTAATTTATTAGTATAGATTCATTTTTTTTTTCAATTTAGATCCTACGTGGCATGTTGTTGGTGGTTGGCAACAACAAAGTTATCGCAATTCGCAACAACAGTTGTCGTTGTGAAAAATAAATTTTTAGCAACAACAGAAGTCATTGCTTCCATTTTTTGTGACTTTTGCATGTGATGTACTCGTAATGACCTTGCGATGTTTTTTGCAACAAGAAACTGTTTTTAGCAACATTTTCGTAGTCATTGATGGTGTTCGTTCTAAAATGAAAATGGAAGAAGAAAGAAAAAGCAAAGGGGGTCTAATCTAGGTTACAAATAATAAATTAGCTTGAAAAATGGCTTTTAAAGGAGTTTAGATTTTAATGTATTCATTTGATCTTTCATGCTTAAAATCTTTTTCTTTTTTGGTGCTCTTTTTGCAACACCTATCTTATTCCTTATGAAGAGATAACTTGGACACACAACATTGACGTGGATATGTGGGTTGAATTAATGTCAATACCTCATTTAGGCCTCTAGTTGCATTAACAAATTACATATAAATTCTTCAAATAATGTCATTTTCAATAACCGTTTGATTGGTTGTTTTTCTAATAGTAATTAATACACTAAGATGGATGGTAAATTCTATCTTTGCCAAGAATAATATTATTAGTAGTAATTGTATGGAGTAGTAGTTATCCTTATCAAATTACCACCATCACTTTCTAATTTCCAAGGCCCAATTTAATCATCTAGTCACTATCATTTATCCTTGAAATTTATTTGGCGTGACACATGAGGCCCATGTGACGCCATGACCCATAAACTCTTAAAGTGGGCCCACACTATTCGGACTTATCCAACTATCCAATAAAAATATCCACTTCCCAAACTCATTTTCTACGTAGTACGAGTACTATGCATAGGATCACCTCATGTCACGACTTAAGTATGTTCTATTCATTTTAGTTTTAATTTTATTTTAATTTTAATTTTAATTTAATTTTTATTTATCTAAATTTGAATTTGAGTAATCTTATTAGAACTTATATTTCTTAAACTAAACTATTTAAAATTAATTAAATTCGAAATAAGTGAAAATAAGGTGAACAAATCAGGTCTTTATATTATTAGAGATTTAGAAGTAGAGAACACCATCTTCTTATGAATCTGAATTTTTTTTTTTTCTCTCTGTAGAATTATGTATAAGTATCTAAAAGAAGAAGTATTAATAATATATATATTTATATTTATTTTTTGACACAAATATATATATTTATTGATTTGTGGGTTATACTTCGTATATGATATGATATATATCCCAAATAATATATAACTAGAAATTAAAGACAATTTAAAACTTTTAGCTAACCATTTCTTTTCCTCTCTCCAAAACCCTACCCACCATTGTTGAATTTTAAAGGGGCTTCTATCGGTTTTAATCTATAGCCTAAGATTTAGGGTGTGTTCTATTCATCTGATTTTTTTACTTATTTGAACTTAACTGAACTTATCTGAACTTATTACACTTTATTAACACTTATTTTCACTTATTTGACCTTATTAAAACTTATTAACACTTATAAGACTTTATTAGACATTATTTGTCATTCTTGAAACATATTGTGTAACATATTGGTAATATGAGTATATATATAACAATATATTAAAATAAAAGTAATAAAATATGAAAATATTAGCAATTTTTAATATATTAAACTTGTTGATTTGCTTAACTTTTATATAAGCAAAATTTATCTAGTCTTACCATAACTTATGAGTATAACGTTACTTTAATTTTATTTTTTATGCAAATGTTACTTTATTCTTATATGAACTCATGATAATAAAACACATAAAATTTTACAAAAAAAAAAAAAAAAAGTGAAAAGCAATCTTGATTAGAAATAACTCTATATAAATATAATAAGTGGAAATAAGGTGAGGAGAACATTAATTTAGATTTTATTAACCCTGAACTTATCTGAACTTATTAACCCTTATCTGAACTTATTAAACCTGAAATAAGTGAAAATAAGGTGAACAGAATAGACTCTTAGTTATATGATCTCAACAATAGACTTGGAAAAGTAAATACGTATTTGATCATCAAATCAATTATCAATATACAAAATCTAACAAAAAATAGTAGATGAGAGCAAAATCCAATATTAAATTGCTTCAACTTGAAAAATCTACTAGTCCTTTCATGAGTAATAACTTAATTGATACGATTATAAGTATATGGTACATCCTTTCCCATCCAAAATATCCTAAACCAACTCAAAACAAGTTCAATTACCTAACTAATTAAAAAATCAGATCCATTCCGAATAATCTATTTTCCCTTTAACTAAACCAGAGCCCATACATTAGACAATAGAGTGCAAGTGCAACAATCACAAGAGGCAAACGCAAAAATAAAATCCATGTGTAATTGACAAATAAAATGTTTTTTTTTTTGCAAAAAATGTTTCTAGAAGAACGCGCCGATTTAATAATCCAAGTGCAGAAAATCAGTGGCAGCAATTTTAATAATCCATAGATGGGGAATTTTAAAGGGGGGAAAGTTAGACATTTGTAAATACATAACATTGATTAAAATATTATTAAAACACATGATAGAGAGGGAAAAGAGGAGAGAGATAGGAAGAGAGGTCTGTAGGTGGACCCTACCTATTTTTTTGGTCGGATTGTATCACGTGATAGGAGATCACATGTTGATTGTTCCACTAAAAGTTTATATGTTACCATTGAATTCTCAGTGGTACCATTTTTGCATAAATTTTGTACAACTGAATGCATATATAATACCATTATGTGCATATATAGTTACACTGTACATTCAGTGGTACCATTTAATCATCCAATGATACCAGAATATGAATTCGTTTGTACATATGTATAATTACATGAATACCCCTTGTTATGCATTTGTAAATGCCTAACTTTCCTCCATTTCTAGTTCCTCATCCATAGATACCGACACTTTCCTGAGTCAGCACACGGTCTCTCCACCTCCGCCAATGGATAAGCCTAACATTAACCTCTTCTTTTTCGACATGGGCCCCACTTTTCCCTCCAATCATAAATTCAATACATTCCCAACTCTATTGCTATATTAACCCCTTATTTCTCCAAACTTTCAGCACTCTTCTTATACCACTCATACATCCCACAAGTTTCATATTTCACACAATCTAAATCAACCTCTACATTTGTACACCAAAACTATAACAAAAAAAAAATATGGCATCTACTATTTCATCTTCTTTTACTTCTAACACATTTACTTCCCTATCCTCCACCACCAATCATCCTCGCCACGCCGCCACATCCACGTCTCATGTCTCGTTCCGACGGCCTCTCTCCACTATCTCCGCCGTCTACACCACCACAAATTATTCAACAAGCTCTTCCGTAGGCGTTGCTTCTAATACTTCCCTCCAAAACTCGTCGTTTTACGAGGTTTTGGGGATCCCCGCGGGTGCCTCCGGTAAGGAGATCAAGGCTGCTTATAGGAAATTGGCTAGAGTTCTTCACCCTGATGTTGCTCTTGTCACATCTAATAATGCCACGTCATCGGTTGATGAGTTTATTAAGGTTCATGAGGCTTATGCTACATTGTCCGATCCTAAAAAGAGGGCTGATTATGATCGGATGATGTGGCTTCAAGGTCGTCGGTTGAGTTACTCCCCTACCTATTGTTCGATGTCTTCCGGCACCAAATATGGTGGCGGAACGACATCGTGTTCGGGGTTTTCCGGATATACTCGCCGTACTTGGGAGACTGACCAGTGCTGGTAGAATTTATTAAGCATGTCTAGTTAGTTTTAGTTTTACTTGTGTACAAATTTGCAGATCAAGTTAAAATTAAAAAAAAAAAAGAAAAAAATTACGTATATAGTTTGATGTGGATAAATTAGGTGTTACTGTACTTGAATTAGATTAAATTAAATTCCTCACATCAATTAAGTTAGAGTAAGTTGTAAGTAAAGTAAGATGTGGAGGAAATGTTTCACACTACAAGTAGAGGATATGTTTTTACCTCTTTAGTACTCCTATAATGAAGACACAATGAATATTTTGGATCCAAATATTTTCAATCTCACATTTTTTTTTTTTGAAGCAAAGTATCACTTTTGTTCTTAAAAAAAAAGTATCACTTTTGTTCTTTATGAGACTCAATATTTCCTTATTTCCTTGGCCCCATAATATTCCCAATTTATAGAAAGAAAAAAAAAATTCTTAAAAGAAAATACTAATACTCCATAAGATAAGTGTATTGGACACTCCTAATAGGGGAAAGAAGCGAAAATTTGGGATGTTTTGTTGTTCTATGGAATATCTAATATATACTTCGGATTCTTTTTCTATTCTAGATCTTTAATCACAATGAAACTTTTTCATTATTCACACCCACTCTTTAACAAGTAAAATATTTAGCGTTGTAATTAAAAGATACATAATGCAATGATAATATCTATTTTTCCTATTAAAATAAATAATACTTCAAACGGAGCCAAGTTAGCCAACTGCCCACCCTACAAGATACGAAATATAAGATACGGAGTATCATCTATAACCAATTACCAAAAAAAAAACTTAAAAAAGAAATAGAATGAGTATATATATATATATATATATAATAAAAAATATAATCTTATGAACATGCAATTATTCACACGTATTGTAGTAAAAAATATAATCCTATGAACATGCAATTATTTCCTTAAAAAATTGTAACCCAATGTTTGCGACTTGTGAGGATTAAATCTAGATCTAAGGAATTAAAATATGACTTATAATAATATGAATAACCCTAGACCCTAGTAGTTAGACTTTTACACACTATTGAAGAGGCAAATTAAAGTTTGAAATAATATCTATATGCATTACTTTCCTAGACACCGACTATCGACATAGAAGCATATAACATGCAAGTTGCCAAGTATCGCAAATTTAGCCTGAATCTTTATATTCGTTTTCTCCGACCATTATCATTATTATGTCACCTCTAATACACTTTACATTAATAATTTAAGTTTAATCAAAGTTTTCGAGATTTCAATCCCACATGCCTCCTTCCTAGTTGGGTATTACTCCTTTATTTTATCAATAATGCACACATCATCCCTTAATAAATAAATTAACCGTCATCACATACTTTCATTCATCCACTTGGTATGCCTTTTCTTAATTAATACTTCGTACTATTATACTCCGTAATAGTTATGTCTTTTGTACTCATACAAACATACAGTCACATGGTCATTCCAAATGAACATTTCGGTGCAAATTAAAACCATGGTAGGAGCACGTATTATATCCAGATTAACATCATGCTAAGTTAAGTGATATATAGATTATTAGAGTATATAATATGATATGAGGTTTTGACTATCAACTTAAATCTTTGATTGAGATGGCCGTTTGACATATCACCAAAGCCAACATGACATAAAGGTCACGGGTTCAAATCTTATTCAACCCTACGTTTAAGTGGAATATTTCGCCTTAGGTATGAAGGGGTCTGGTTAGAATGTCACACCCACACTTCAAGCCCATAAGGGCTCTAATATAAGGGATGCTGACTTGACCCTTCTTGAAATTATCTTGAACTGAAGCATCGACCTAATTACTATTGACCAGACTCATACTCGACCTAATTGCTAGGTCTAGTTAATATTGCTTACGAGGATAAAGATCACTCCATCTCTCTCTTTTCCTCACGCCACAAATTAAAATACCTTATTTCATTTATAAACACCTTATCCCCCTACAACACTACCTTTAAACACTTATGTTTTTCCTAACAAGACTTTTATTACCCTCTTTATTTATTTTCCCCAATCCAAGCACGATCTTAGTGTTGATTATAGGGCATTAATTTCACCCATTGTTTAGGTACGTGTTAGATATGAGTTCAAACACTTATGTTTTTCCTAACAAGACTTTTATTACCCTCTTTATTTATTTTTCCCAATCTAAGCACGGCCTTAGTGTTGATTATAGGGCATTAATTTCACCCATTGTTTAGGTACGTGTTAGATATGAGTTCAAATCATTGCACGTCAATTTAGGTCAAAATCTCGGGTCGAATTTTTTTTTTTACAATTGTGATCTACCGATCTACCCCTATCATTTTCGTACCTTAGTTTATATCAATAATGCACTCATCATTTCGTTATACATGCCATATCGATCGGTATATCACCTCTCACATACGTAGTAGAAGATTAGTCATTCCCATTGTTATAGTCGTGACCATATGTTAGATGGTAAACTACTGCAACCGATCGATGAGTGGGCAAATATTTGTCAAAGTTCTCGAAGATTATGAAAGGAGATGGTAGTTCTAGAAGATTATGATTTTCCTTGGTGGACTCCACGAAAGAGACCTTCGAGAAAAATAAACACAAGGTGTTAAAAGAGTGAAATCTAGGGTACTACAAGTCTACAATTAGAATTATAAAACAGGTCGGTTCGTTATAGATTTTATATGGTGACCAAATTGCCAAAACGTTCTCTTCTAATGACCAAAATGTATTTTTGATTTGATAGTCCAACACTAGATGTCTACAAGAATATGTAAGTTTTTTAATAAATATTTCATCATGAATTATGTTAACATATACGGAGTATCAATTTGACTTAATATCTCTCACGATAATGGTGGTTGTTTGGTTGATCATATGAAATACGATTTTCTAAGAAGAAGTTTTTCAATATATGCTCTACTTAAATCCTCTTAATACTCAACATCGAGAGCCCATCCGCACGCAAATTTTCGTGCGGCTAGTTTAGCTGATATATTTCATGTGTTGACTGATATGCTTTATTTGAGTTGACTGATATAATTTTTTTTGTTGGCTGATATATTTTTTTAAAATTTTTGATATGTTCCTTTTGTTAAATGATATCAGACATCATTTAGTTTATATGATTCTTTAGTTGGCTTATATATTTATTTTGTTGGTTTACATGTTGCTTTTGTTTGCTGATTTTATCCTTTTGTTGACTGATATATTCCTTCTGTCAGCTGATAAGTATCTTTTGTTGGCTGATATACTCTTCTTATTGGTTGATATGCATATTTTGTTGGCTTATATATTTCTTTTGTTGGCTTACATATTGTTATTATTTGCTAATTTTATCCTTTTGTTGGCTAATATGCTTCATTTGTTGGTTGATATATGTTTCGTGTAATCCTCCGTATTTTATAATATTTTATAAATGAAATTTTATTTTATTTATTTGTATTTTTCCGGAATTTAATTTCAAAAGTTTCAAATTATTAATTTGGGTCAAAAATTATTTTGGTATAAATTATTTTATGCACTTTCATTCTACAATTTATGTCCAAACAAACAAAGCCTAGTCCATTATTATTGACTTAATTGACCCATTAATTTCATGAGGCCCAATCTTTCTAATTAACTCTACAACTTTGTCCCCTATAAGTACCCCATACATCTCCAAAGTTTTCCTCACACAAAAAGGTTAGTTAATTCTCTTCTCTTTATTTTATTTCTTTATTTTTTCTTTATTTTTCTTTTCTTTTTTCTTTTTCTTTCTTTTCTTTCTTTCTTTCTTTTTCCTTTCTTACGTGAGTTAAAGTCACTGCCACCCACTGCTGCCGCCATACACCACCGGCGCGCCTCCCTGCCGCCGCCCCTTTGCTCACAAGCGGCCCACCAAGGCTGCCCCTTTTCCTCCTCCTTTGTTTTCTTATTTTTGCTTAATGTTCATATAATTAGTTTTGGGTTTTGATTTTATAGTATAAAGATTATATTTTTAGTATCAAATTCATGTTTTTATAGCTTAAACTTATAATTTCAGCTTTTATTTATATTATAAATTTTTAGATTTTAATTGTGTATATTTTAGGGTTTAAATTGTGAAGTTTGAAAATTTAATTAAGTTCTTATGAAACTAATTGAATTCCAATTATATATTTCAAGTTTATATTGTTGCATTTATACATTCTATTACTTAATCAATTTTTCAGATTTTAGGTTATTGTTCTTAAAGCCTCTAAATGCATTGAATTGGTGAACTTTTGGGTTAAAGGCTACTAACTTAACATATAATGAAAGTAGTTTCAAAGATTACTACAATTTTGTGGTTTCATGTATAAAGTAAATTTTCATTTTTTTTTTTTTTTTTTTTTTTTTTTTTTTTTTTTTTGGTTGTTGAAAGCAGATTAATACATAATTAAAGGAGAAGTAGTACAATACGAAATTAAAATTTTAACAGCATCCTTAGCTAGTCTATGGGCCATTTCCACTTTAGCTCTGCTTTCCTTGCCAATAAGGCAATAATGCACCAGTTAAAGTGCTTCCCTTTTCCCTTGATTTCAGAAATAGTTCAATCCACTGTCTTATCTCCAGCTCTCCCCTTTTGCAGAAGATCAACCAACAATGTAGCATCCGTGATAAAAACCATACTTCGAAATCCTTCCTGGGTGCACCATTTTATAGCGTTTAGGCATGCCATAGATTTTGCATGAAGAGCAGAGCTTGCCAATCCAAAGTTACAGCCATATTTTCCAGTTAAGTTTCCACCCTCCACTAGAGTCCAACCTATACCCATTCTCTTTGTTAATTTTCAGATTTTTATAAAGCTATAAACTTGATGTAATTTCATGTACAAGGGTGTATTTTAAGGTTTTTATGAAGGAAATTTAAAGAACTATATATAAGCTTTTGATTTTAATTAAAGGGGATGTTTTAAAGTGTTGTTTAATTGGATTTTGAAGGTTTTAAAGTAAGTTAGTATTGCTGTAAATTTGATTGATTGAGATGTTATTGTTTGGTTTAGGAGAGGACTTTAATTTATTGAAGGTGATGTCTAGTTAGTAAAGTGGCCAACCAATTTGTTTACTCAAGGTACATACAAGTTACGAAACCTTGCCTTTAGATGCATGTTTAGGGATGTATCAAGAACTTAGTATCATGTATAGAGAAGACTGGACTAAATTGTTTGGTTATTGTAGAACCCCAAATGTGTCTCCCCAAAACCAAACCCAGTGATGAATACCTTTCACGTCATTTGATATCGAACGAGGTGAAAGTGTGAAAAATTCAATTTCGGCCATATATTTTTATC